GGTCCCCTGGTCCCTAACACCAAAGAATGTGTTCACACCAAAAACAGGTCTAACTCTGACAGCTCCAACCTTGGGGTTGGGATCATGCTGAATAATGAGACTTGGGGTCAAGAAAGCACAGCGACCGAGCCCCATGAAAGAGCAGTCTCAGCACAGGTGAGAGTCCGAAGCAGGGCATTAAACTTCAGGTTCTTGAGTGTGGGATACGGTACATGGACCCTTCCAGACCGTTGTAGACGTGAGAAGACCTGCACAGACTTGCAAACGCATGTCTTTCAGTAAGGGATTTTACCCTCAAAGAAACCAAGTCCATTGTAACGAAGAGGTCATTGCGTTTGCTTTTGAAAACTTCATGAGCAACTTCAGGGAAGATGCTGAGCCTTCTCTTTTGCTCGATGATAGATCATCTGCCTTGCATAATGTCCAGTGGTTATTGAAGAATATTGAGAGAGGAGTAGAGGAAGCAAGACAGTAGAACTGTGTTCTTCGCAAAGTCACTAACTCTAGGGCCAGTCTAGTGGCTTGTGGCTAAGGTGGCTGGATCCCATATGGCTGACTGCATGGTTCAAGTCTTGGACCCAGCAGCCTGAAAAAGACACAGGGCAGGTGTTCATGCATGCCCAAAATTCCAAAAGGAGAATGGAGGAGAAGGGAGTGCAGAGTAACTACCCCTCCCCCGTCTGTCTGTCTGTCTGTCTCTCTCTCTCTCAGAAGCACACATTCCCTGTGTCTGTCTGTCTGTCTGTCTCTCTCTCTCAGAAGCACACATTCCCTACGGCAAAATAAATAAATAAGAAATCAACTGTATGTTACAACTACCCCTTAGAAAGCATGCAGTGTGAGTTTATAAACATCCAATGTTCTAATGCCAACTCAACCACCCCGTGGCCACACCGTCACTCTTCCCCCAAGATGAAAGAATTAATAGTGAGTAAAGGCACTGCGAATCCTGCCACACAGTCCCGCTTACCCATAAACAACATCTTTTTATTAGTGTTGTTCTTTCTTTGTTTATGATAGAGCACACACTAGAGAGAGAACCACTGTCCACAGATTCTCATCACACCGTAACCCCCTTCCTGCAGTCCATGGGATCCTCGGCGCTCACCTGCACGGCAGGCATGTTTCAGGCCCACCAGGCCCACCGTTGCCACGTGAGGGCCAAATTCTCTTGAGCATCCCATTACTGCTGCCCCACAGAGCCAGCCCACAACCGGAACTGTTGGTCTCCTCTCCACTGGGTCACCAGCTTGCTAAAATCCACAGCCTGTTTTGTACTCCCTAAGGGTGTCACCAGAAGTCAACCACGTGCTCCTGACTGGAATACAAGGTGACATTGATGGGGCAGTACCACAGCCAGCAACACCTCCATGCCCATTGGACACACCACATGTGTACAGAAGATACCTCCATTTACCTATGGTGAAAGGGATACGCAGCAAAAGCAATAAAATATCTCTCGGCGAGGAAATGCCCATACTTAACAAACATTTACCTATGGTGAAAGGGATACGCAGCAAGGCAATAAAATATATCGGCGAGGAAATGCCCATACTTAACAAGGCCACTGCCATCCAAGCTGTCCTTCAAGGGGATCATAAAATAAAAACGATTTAGTGCCATGGGCCATAGGACAAGAGAAAAGGCAAGCAGGAGACTTATGGAAGAATGACAGAGGCAGGACGTGAATGTGACAGTCCGCAGTAGAATCTTTTTGGTTATTGTCCAGTGACGGGAGGGGAAAGTCGTGAGTTTTCCAAACACAAATGGGAAGTCAAATATTCAGGTTCTAAACGGGTAAAACTGTACCACGAAACCACAGGCAGGGAAGCACGTTCAGTGGGGCCAGGCCACGTGGGAAGGCGGGCCATGGGGCGCCATCACTCAGCGGTGACAGTTCCCCAAAGCGAGTCGCCTTTGTTCTAACTGGTACCTCAGACAAACCACACTGGTACCCAACCGTTCTGCAGTCTCAGCTGGAGTGCTTCGAGGAGGCCCGGGAAGGTGGCCTAACCCACCTGACTAAAGCAGACAGCACGTTGTAGGTGAAGACGGAGGCGAAGCCACGACTGAGGAAGACTACCTCTCAGTTCACGCCAAGAACCAAAGCTGACTGCATGTCCAGTGGTAATGACTGCAAATGGAGATGATGCATTTCCTGACTTCACCAAAGAACTGGCTACATCTTCACTTTTTCTTAGGGATTTCAGTTAAAATGTGATGCCCCAAGGACTTACTGAAGCCTCTGAGCTTACCGAGCCAGAGAGCTCACGCGTCCTTTGAGTTCGTCCGCGTACTTTTTGCATTTTTCCTCTCTTCCTCATTAAGCAGGAGGGCTGCCCAAACTCCCCCCAATCTCAGGGCTACCTCTTAAGTCCGCTAT